GATGCTACCTTGGACATTATTTCCTTTGCTTCCGGGGGCCTGGCTTCTACAGCTGTGGCCAGGAGACTTCTTTGGCTGCATGCTTGGCAAGTGGATGCACTCTCCAAATCCATCATTACCGCTTATCCTTTCCAAGGGGACTGTCTGTTAGGCTACGTGCAGGACAACATCCTGGTGGAAACCAGGGATATGAAAAAAGCCATGCCTAGGTCCCTTAGACGGAATCCTCAGTCCTTTCGTTCCCATCACTCCTTGCCGTGCTTTTGTCAGGACAACAAAATGTTTTCCTGGGACACGACCAAGCAGTCCGGCAAGCGTGGTTCCTTCAATCCTAGATTCCAACAGGAATGATAGAGGAGACAGAGATGCCAAGCCCAAACAAGCTTGACTATGCCACTCTCCCGGTAGGGGCATGACTTCTTCATTTTGCCAAGACTTGGTCAGAGACGCAGGTGGATGCCTGGGCAGTAGAGGTCATGTCTCAGGGATATACAATAGAATTTCTTCGCCAGCCTCCAGAGAGGTTCCTGAAATTGCCTGCAAGCAAATCTGTGAGCAAGAGATCCATTGTCAACACGGCCATACAACATCTTCTGAACATCAGGGCCATTGAACCAGTTCCGTTATGTGAGAGAGGCCGGGGAGCTTACTCTATTGTTCATGGTGCCCAAAAAGAATGGAGACTGGAGGGTGATCCTGGATCTCAAGTTCTTGAACAGATTCATCAGGCTGCAGCATTTTTGCATGGAAACTCTGAAGGCTGTAGCGGATTCCTTATCTCCCAACAAGTATTTGACATCCATGGATCTTACGGAGGCGTACCTCCATGTACCAATTCACTCAGCTCACAAACGATTTCTTTGGTTTTACATATACTGTCAACATTTCCAGTACAGAGCACTTCCCTTCGGTCTCTCCACAGTGCCCAGACTGTTCACCAAGCTGATTGTCAATGCTGTGGGTCATCTCAGGGGCCGAGGGATCCATGTACATCCGTACCTGGACAATTTGTTGATCCGGGCCAGCATACGGTCGGAGTCCATTGAAAATACCGAGAGGACTCTACAGTGCCTACGCAGTCACAGATTTCTGATCAACCTTGAGAAGAGTTCTCTAGTTCTGTCTCAGTAGGTAGAGCATCTGGGAGCAGTGATCGACACCACCTGCACTGCACTGTTTCTACCAATGTCCAAGGCTCAGAAAATCAAGGCTCTTGCTTCGCAGGTATACTGCAGCAGATCTTCAGCTCTCATAGAGTTGGCCAGACTTCTGGGTCTCATGATTGCCAGCATCGACATGATTCAATGGTCTCGTATGCACGCCAGACCATTGCAGATGTTTCTTCGTCCCCATCAACTTGACATCATGCAGAAGAGGACCATCAACCTGCAGGTTCCCCTCAGGGTCAAGGGGAGTCTACATTGGTGGGTGGACATGAGCAATCTCATGTCAGGCAAGAACTATTATGTCTCTCACACCAAGGAGCTGTTCACAGATGCCAGCCTCCAGGGTTGGGGGGTGATGTTAGAGGGATCCCCAGTCCAGCGAACTTGGCTGTCAACCGAGAAGTCGTTTCCTATCAATCTCCTGGAGCTCAGAGCGATTCATCTTGCTCTGATCCACTTCACTCCTCGTCTGCGGGATCAACACGTCTTGGTAAGAACTGACAACATTTCAGCCAAAGCTCATATCAACAAGCAGGGCGGATCTCGATCCTGACAGCTGCACAAGGAGGCAATGAAGATTCTTTCCTGGACGGAGAAGAGTGTTGCATCCTTGAGGTCAGAAGCCATAAGGAGGATCGAGAACGTCCAAGCAGACTGGCTCAGCAGGGAGACATTACAGGACGAAGAATGGGCTCTCCATCCAAGACTCTTCAGCATGTTAGTGACACAGTTCGGGCAACCAATAGTGGATTTATTTGCGTCACCAATGAACCACAAGCTACCAAGATTTCTCACCAGATATTTCCATCAGGAAGCAGAGGCGACGGATGCTCTTACAACAAGGTGGCCTCAAGGCTTGCTGTATACGTTCCCGCCGTTTATCCTGATCTCCAGGACCCTCCGCAGAGTCAGGGAGCTCAGAGCAGAGGTCATATTGGTGGTTCCGAGATGGGCTCGACGTCCATGGTTTTCAGCACTACAGAAAATGTCAATTCTTCCGCCACTGGTACTACTGGTGTCTCTGGACATGCTCTCCCAGGGACCAGTATGGCACCCAGATCCGGCCTGGTTGTGTCTGACCGCATGGAGATTGAACGGAGCAGCCTGGCAGAGTTAGGATACTCTCCTCAGGTCATGGACACCATCATGGCTTCCAGATGGAAATCCACAATTCGTATATATAACACTACCTGGAAGGCATTCGTGAGATGGTGCAAACGCAAAAAGGTGACTCCACTGTCTCCCTCTGTAGCTTCCCTCCTTTCATTTCTACAGGATGGGTTGGATGCAGGTCTTCAAGCTTCCACGCTCCGCAGACAGATGGCAGCCTTATCCACTGTTCTACCTTCATTAGAGGGTTTCAAAATTACCAAGCATCCTCATATTCAATTGTTTCGGCAGGGGGCCGTGGCCAAATCCTCCTCCACAGGTACATCGTTTTCCAACGTGGAGGTTGAACATTGTGCTTGATGCCCTAATGAAGGCACCCTTTGAACCTCTCAGAGAGGTGGGACTGAAATGGCTGAGGTTGAAAACATTGTTTCTCATTGCCATCACATTGGCAAGGAGGGTTTCTGAACTTGGAGCAATATCAGTAAAGTCATCCTTCTGTGTGTTCCACAAGGACAAGATGGTGCTCCGCACGGACCCTACCTTTCAACCCAAGGTAGACTCCAGATTTCACCGATCACAAGAAATATGCTTGCCCACCTTCTGTCCTCATCCCAGACATCCCAAGGAGCACCTCTGGCATACCTTAGATGTTAAAAAAGCTCTCAAACTTTACATTGCAAGGACGGAGAATTGGAGGAATTTCTGTTCATCGGCATTTCCCCGCCGTGGAAAGGGGAAAAGATGTCTAGGTGTATGATCAGTTCAGTCCTAAAGTCCTGCATTGTGGAAGTTTACTGGGTTTTGGGACACGATGTTCCCAGCAGCATCACGGCACATTCTCTGAGAAGCATAGCGACCAACGCAGCATTTTCTAACAGGGCAGTGGTGGAGGAAGTCTGTAGAGCGGCTACATGGTCCTCCATCTTTACCTTTATAAGGCACTACAAGATCAACACCGTGGCATCTGCAGATGCGGCATTCGGGAGAAGAGTACTTCAGCACGTCGTGGCATTGGAGGAAGATGACGACCCACCCAAATGAGGGACACTGCTCTGGAAGGTCCCATGGAGATGTCCTCCACCTCAGAGGGAGAACGACCATTGGACACTTACCGTGAAGGGTCCTTCTCCTCTGAGGACAGGAGGACATCTTGGCCCACCCGCTGTCATCTTTCTCTGTTTCTGTTTTTCTCTGTACTGACTTCTTTTCCCGCCTTTTGTTACTCCTACTCTGGGTGTTTCTAATCCTGCAGAGTTGGGTTGTTACAAGTTGAAGTTACTGGTTCGAAGTTATATTTTGTAGGGCAAGGCCAGTTATTTCAGGCTGCACACACTGCTTTCGGAATCCCAGGAGGTGGGCTATTCCGGAGGCGCCAACAGGAAGGGGAAAAAAACATTTCCTGCCTCCCTAAAGGCGCGGTGGGAATAACCCATGGAGGTGTCCTCCTGTCCTCAGAGGAGAAGGACCCTTCACAGTAAGTGTCCAATGGTCGTTTTCACACAAACCAAGGGTCCCTTCTGAGTTGAACTCACTGAATATCTGGGTAAGAAATATCCTCCTCTTTCTAGGAGCAATAATACTTTTCTGTTTGGCTAGACTGGCAGTTTCAACCTACTGTCCAGTCTCTTCTGTCAGTCATAAACCCCAACTCTGGAGACTGAATAAATGGAATTCAGCCAGGGATGACACTTAGACTTTAAGTTCTAATTTCTGAACTTTTCCTCAAATGTGATGGTACACAGTAAGGGCAAGGAGTTATGTCCCTTCACTTCACAAGTGAACTTGTCTGTTTCCCTCTGACAGACACACCAACTCTGCCAGAAAGGAAGCAAAAAGAAAAAGACCCTTTTCCTCAGCACTCAGCTGTTCTTAAAGCTCTCCTCAGCTTGCACTGACCAATCAGAGAAGGGGGGAGGTGCACACAGACAGCCTGTCAATCAACCTGTGCTTCACAGTGAGGCATTAACCCTTAATCTCCCAGCTCCCTGAATTTGATGCACTAAGCATCCTGGTTTTGGAGGTCAGTTCGTCACAGAAGGCTTTTAAAGAAATGTCTTTTTTAAAAGGAGGAAAGTGAAGGCATAGAAGTTTGTGTCAAAAACAACATAGAAACTGGTGGTGAAAATTGGAATTCCAGAAAGTCTTTGATTTCCTACTCATTATCAGCAGTATTAGTATGAAGTCATGGATGCATGACACAATTCCTGACTCATTGTCAGTATTTTCCTATTCAATTGATTTTACATAAGTGAGAGACAGCAGTTACAGGCCTCAACCAGAATCTGTGTTCATGGATGCATAGATAAACGTCAATGTGCTTACCTAGTTAAAAAGACCACAGCTCCGTCACATTGCCAGTTTTGTGGGCAGCCACTGTCACCTGTGGCAAGAGAACTGTCAGGTATTGGTACTTTCAGTACAACTATAACTTGCTTTTTTTATATCTGAATTCCTTTTGTTCAGAGGTTGCCCAGAGACAGTGTGTGTCTAAGTACCAGTTGCCAACAGGGGAGGGCATGGTTTTGTAGCCTGCCTGTGGGTGTCCTACAGGCATCTGGCTGGTCATAGCAGGGGCAGGGGCAGAGGGAGAAAGAAAAGATTCTGGACTACATGGGCCTTTGAATGTGATCCAGCCAGGTGGTTCTTATGCTGTCACAGAGGATTTTTTTTAAAATTCAGCTCTTTCAAAGCCTGTCTTTCTCTCTCTCCCCCCCCCCATAGGATTCCCTCCAATTCCTGGAGTGGTTCCTGAAGATGATAGTACAGTGGCTGCAGTGCTGGAAAGTGCAAATAGGCTGGTTAAAATGGAGGAGGAAGAAGAGGACAAAGATGATGATGAGGTTTGTTGATATAATTTAGTGCCTTAAATCTTGCTCTTAAGATCTGCTGATACAGGTTTATCTTTCCATGTAACCCTTGACACAGAAACTGCTTGTACTGGTTTAAGCTGGCTGTTGCTCATGGATCCTTAATACCAACAGCTAGTTCACTTTACTGTAACTCACAGATTTCCTGTTGTGGTACAAATACCTGTGAAGCCATGTAGAGCCACAAGTCTTAAGGTTATGGAATGCACTATCCTGTTTTCTTAAAAGCCAGTGAATAGCGGTAGTAATTTCATTGTTGTTAAGAGGTTTTTCTTCAATACTTAGTCTCTAGATCCTACCTCATTGCCTCACTATGGTTTTGCAAAACTGTATTATCTCCCTGCACAGAACATATACACTCACAAGGGGTCTTTTGCTGGAATGCAATCCAAATTGTACACTCTAATCATTCTAGATTTCATATGTGGATTTCAAGCACATGACATTCAGTTCCTTTTTGATCCCACTAGGGTGAGCTTTCCACACAGGCTCCAGCTGCCAAGAAGCCCACTCAGGTGTCTAAGAAACCAGTGCTAATTGTTCAGCCACTAATGAGGCCATCTGCTATAATCCAGGAAGAGACATCTCAGGAGAAGGATATTTCTCGACCATCCCCTATAACAGCACCAGAGAAATTTGCACCCATTGAGCATCTCTCTCCAGTGGGTAAGGACTTGCGACTGCCAGTTTATTTTCGTTAGTTATTTAACTTACACAAGGCCCCCTATGTCAAAAAGAGGGAAGGAAACTATGGGGGGAAAGCCCAAGTGGGAGAATACATCAACTAGTTTTTAGATATTTAATGGATGTTGGAAATGAAATTGGGGAGAGGGGACTGAGGATTGAAGTAAAAACAGAAGGACCTTTTAGTAGCTGTTTAAATGTGTGCTTCGCAGCTGGATTCTTTGGTCTTGCTCAGATGGTGACTGCAGGTGAATTGGCTTTTGTACCAGTGCAAACTAATCAGTAACTCAGCAATATTGTCAGTGTTCTACAGAGAAATATTGCACACACATGGTTGGTTTTTAAATGTATGAATGAAGAAAGCAAACCTGTATGTACAGCTGAGAAAAATCTGACTGTGCTGGGCTGAATTTGAAAATGTGGTGTGTATCTTGGCAAGGAGAGTATAAAATGTGAAAAGAACTTACTGCAAGAGCTTGTGTCTCTGAAGAGTGTTTTTCCTCATTTCTCCATGTCTTCCCCTGCCCCCCACTGTTGAGCTCCCACATAAAGTTTAGCTACTCTGAGTCAGGGCCTGGCAAGCAAGTCTTATCTAATGGATTTGGTTTTGCACGGCTGGGCAGATTGCACACAACAGCGGAGTCCTGCCAGCAGTGTGGTGATGGGAATAAGTAGGAGCCATCATTGTGCATTTCCCTCTATGTTGTTATCAGCCCCTTCTGAGCATCTGTGATGAGAAAAGCTTCTCCCACAACCAATTTCGTTTGTGAAGTTCCACACCATCACCTTAGTGTGTGTGCTATACATACACACAGGGAATAAAAAACAGATTTTTTTAATAACAGCTTGTACATTCTCTCTTCCTCCCATCTTATTGGTATTTCTTGGTGCTGGACTATATAAAGGGACTTTGCTATCCTTTCTTTTGATGAATTGTGGAGTGGGGAAAAATGGGTCATTTAATTGGTCATTCTGCTACCTTCATGTGCATATCTGTCTGATACAATCCTCTTCATAAAGCACAACAAGTATAGAAGTCAGATATACCGCAGAACAGTGATTAACAGAAAACCTCCTCAGACAAGACTAGTTTCCATGTTCCAGGGGTAGGGTTAATCTAATTTGAGGAAGAATCTTTCCTAGCCCGCAAATCATGCCTGTTGTAGCCTGAATGTAATTTCAATAACTCATTCACTGACACATCCCAGTAGAAACTACTTGGAAATATCAACATACCCTGTACTATAATCCAGAGGAAGAGGGAAGCAGAATACAAGGTCATAGATAAAGGGAGAGGGACAACATAGGATCATTTTTCTTTTTATTTCAAAAAACGGGAGGGGGGGGCTTAAAAACCAGCAACTAAATAAGATTTTTTAAAACAAAAAAATTATACATAAATTATAAACATTATAAACAGTTTCATGGACAGCAGAGAATCATGACTTGAAGCATCACAAAACAAATTCCATGGCATCCATTATAAGTATATCCACTTATACCTTGAACCCAGTAAGGTTCTTATTCCCACAGTTTTTCTAGGGAGGCCCTTTCAGAAATGTATTTTAAGGCCCTAGAACATTGCACAGAAATCAGATTAAACTGCATGTATCTCTTTAATCTGCCTTCTTTCATTTTGGTTGGAAGAAACAAGGATCAGCGCTCATCTAATGTAGGAACATGAGGGTGAAATGTAGTGGAACTGGGATGATAAGGTCTGTGGCATGGGGATCAGATATCAGGAATGATATGAATAGACGCTTTGTATGTTACAGAAGCCATCCCTTGTTGAACATACCCCAACCCAGATTTGCTCTAGTTATTTAGATTTCAGCAAAATAACCTGCATATTTTCAGGTTTTCCCTGAACGCAACATATTTCCTCTTTTTTGTTTTAAAATGAAACCTGATAGTATTGAGACTTCCGAGAAGCCATCTGGTTGATCTGTGTTGCATTAATTTAGAATTGGGAGTTTATTGAGGATAGGCACTATTCAGATTATAGCAAGGGGAGTTCAGGTATTACTAGTTTTACACGAACCTGCCTGACTGTTACAGTCATCTTTGGAGGCTCTCCTTTGGGTGCCTCCTCCTCCTGAGATCAACTGGGTGGCAACCCAGGAGACAGCCTTCTGAGCCGTGGCACTAAAGCTCTGGAATTCTCACCCCAGAGAGATTTGCCCGTCCCCTTCTGTTGTTGTCTTCCACCAGCAGGTGAAGGCTTTTTTGTTTCGCTTGGCATTCCTTTAGTAATCTCTCTTTCCTAACCAATGTTTTAATGTTTTGTATATATTTTAACTCTGTAATTTTTTGTGTATGTTTTAAGTTGTTTAGCCACCTTGGGGGATGCTTGTAAGGACAGAAAGGCAGGATATAAATTTCATTAATGATAATAGTTTTACATAACTACATATTAGTTCTGCTATTCCTCAAAGGAGTTCAGGGGTGGTGTACATTGTTCTGTATTTTATTCTTAAAACAATCTGGTGAGTTAGAGTAGTCTTGAGAGAGACTAGCCCTTGGCAAAGTGGGATTTGATCTTTCTAGTTTGACACTCCTAACCACTATACCACACTGATTCCTGTAAGGCATAACTCTGCCTTCAGGCTTAAGAATGCCAGCACTCTTGCTTGGTTGGGTAACCATTCAGATTTTTGTGAACATCTCCCTGATCTGTTCCTGATCCTACAACAGTGTAAACCAAAACATCTGCAGGATATTCGGTGTGTCACACATGCCTGTATCTACGTCTCATGGGATTTCACCTTTGACCTGAGATTAAATCAAAAAAGCGTAAAAACACTAACAGATTGTGGTTGTATCAGATGGATCTGAAAATGGCTTGGGGGTTGTTTGTTTTTTGTTTTATTATTATTATTCCTTTGCAGCTAGGGAGCACATTGAATTTCTTGAGAGTAGAAAGAAGCAATACTTAAAGGCTGCAATCCAAGCAAAGAAGAGGAACGATTTTGAACAAGCCAAGGTGTATTTGAGAACAGCAAAGAGCTTTGACCCAAAGATTGAGCTGGCAAAAAATGGCGAATTGGTCGACATTTCCAAGGTTAGCAGAAAAACTAAGGGGTATCAAGGCTGATGAATTTTGGAGAAGGCATCCATACTACCTTGTGTCATTGTGTCATCATTTACCATTTACCCATTGTTGCTAATTTTAAAGTTCTGAATGTCCCCAATTGTACCCCTTAAGAACATAAGAGATGCCAATGTTGGATCAGGCCAATGGCCCATCTAGTCCAGCACTCTGTCACACAGTGGCCAAAAATACCAGGTGCCATCAGGGGGTCCATCAGTGGGGCCAGGACACTAGAAGCCCTCCCACTGTTGCCCCCCCCCAAGCACCAAGAATACAGTGCATCACCTGCCCCAACCTGTGAGTTGCTATCTATACCTTGTGGCTAATAGCCACTGATGGACCTCTGCTCCATATGTTTATCCAATTCCCTCTTGAAGCTGTCCATGCTTGTAGCTGCCACCACCTCCAGTGACAGTGAATTCCATGTGTTAATCACTCTTTGGGTAAAGAAGTACTTCCTTTATCTGTTCTAACCCAACCGCTCAGCAATTTCATGGAGTGCCCACGAGTCCCTGCTCTATCCCATGCATAATCTTATAAACCTCGATCATGTCACCCCTCAGCCGTCATTTCTCCAAGCTAAAGAGCCCCAAGCGCTTTAATTTTTCTTCATAGGGAAAGTGTTCCAACCCTTTTAGCATTCTAGTTGCCTTCACTTTAGAAACGGTATGTATCTTGTGTATTAAACACAAATGGAACACAATAGCTTTACACCCCACCTCTTATCCTGTCTCGCTTAAGGGCACACTTATTGGGAGAGAGTACAGGACAAACTGATACAATTGCTCAAATTCAGGATTACTGTTATGAGTATAAATCTTTTTAAAAGAGCATGTGTGGGAAGCAGATATGTGTATAATAGTGTATGTAAAGTTTTGTTACATTTTTACATTTTTATACTTCCCTTCCTCTGAGGGACATCAATATTTTATTCCTGAAAAACCAAATACAATGCTATAAAGGTGCTGGCATGGATGCACCCTAAGGTTGGCTTATCTGCCCTTTCATTTATTCCACACTTCCTCCAAGGAGCTAAATGTGTACATGGTTTTCTCCTTCTCCATTTTATCCTCATAGCAGTCCTATGAGGATGGTTAAGCTTGAGAGCGAATGACTGGCCCTACCTTCCTCCTCTCACTGCTCCCTTCTGTGCCCTTCAAAATTATGCTCTTGTGGGGAACTTGAAGGAACAGTGCAGGGGAAATTGCGAGGCTGCAGCAGGAGGGAGAATGGGCAAAAATCTCCCTCCCCTGCTCTGCAGATAGAAAAGCCATTCCATTGGAGGAGCTGCTGCTGCATCTTGAAAACAGCACCTGAGGATCCAAGTCAGTGTGCCAAATGCTCAGCCTTGCAGGCTTTCCTCTTCTCTGACTTGTGGTTTTGTCCTGCTTCTTTCTGTATAGTATATTTGTGAGGAGAACATGACTGGAAATTTTCATAAATACATCCATCAGTTCACAACAAAAATAAGAAATTATCCTGCATATTTATTTTCAATATTTATGTTCCACTTCTACCCATAAAAATTGGCTTACAAATAAAAAATATTATAAGAAAAGGTCCAACGTTAAACTAATCATAATTTAACAATTATGAACACTAGTAGGAATGTAACAAAACAAAGTGCGTATCTTGCCTTGAGTTATTCCAAAAGGCACATACGGTCTCCTTACTCATGTATGTGATACCCAAATGGTGGTCACCTATTCGAATTGTCCTGGAGTCCTTTTTGTCCTTCCTATTCACTTTTGATGCCTTTGACTCGTTATCATTGATTAGTAGTATTAATTTTATCTGGTGATGAGGGCATTTTATCTCATCCTTGAAGGAAAGGCTGAGGTTTAAAATTTCCCACAGTCACCAGGGGCTTACTTCTGTTTTCGTGTAGTTGTAAGCCAGGACAGAGTTTGTGATGCCATTGGGCCAGGGCAGTTTGTGCTGCATCATTTTATGAGATAAGCTGCAAGCCCCAGAAATGGGTCAGTTTGACACCAAATGTCAACCTGGTTTGCCAAGAAGTCCTGAGATTAATCTTTGAATCCTGAGTGAAATACTCCATTGCCCTTTGGAAAGATTCTTACCCCTTCTTCAGTCTGCTCTGAATAGGTCCCACTGTTTTGATGCTGGCCCTTTTTCCATTGCAGCTACACTTTCTTTACAGAATCTCTGACTTGTTTGTTCCTCTATAGCTGCCTTCCCCTCCCACAGATGATGAGGGTGACTTTATTTTTATACATCATGAGGATGTCAGACTCTCTCAGAAGGCAGAAGAAGTGTACATTCAGCTCATCAAGCTTCTGAAAGACCAGCATGAGGTGTGTTGTTCTTTCTGCCTGTTCCCATAGCATCGTCACCTGGTTCTTATTTCTTATTATGTCCCTGCTTGTGATCTCCACTTCTCCAGTTCTGCCACCCTCAGCTGACTCTCCAGTAAGTGATTCTGCCCCTTCTCTCTTGCTACCCCCATACTTGGAACCCCCCTTCCCTGAATATGCCCGTGATGCCCTCTCCCCTTTCCCACATATCCTTTCCCATACCCCTTAATCTTCATTCCCACTTGTAACCAAGTTTTGAAATACATATAGCAGCATTTCCCATTTTCATCTCTCCCTTTCTCCCACTTCTTTCCCTCTGTTACTTTAATTTAGATGGTAAGTTCCTTGAGGACAGGGATCTGTCTGGTATTGCCTGTGCATCTGTCTAGGGCTCCATGTGCTCTGGTGGTGCCACATAAATAATTGTGTAGTGGAGGGGGCTTCTTGCTTTTTTAATTGGTGGTGTTTGATCCAGATTCCAAAATCAGTTGAAAGACTTCAACCCATTTCAAAATGTTGATGATTTTTAACTTACTGTCTTGTCCCCCTTCTCCATCTAAATTTGCTGATTAGCACTTTCGACCTTGGGAAATGGTTGTGATGGGTCACTCTTAATTGATCCACATTCAATTTGGGGGTCAGTGCTGCCTTAACTGCCTCATCGTCCTACAAGTGAGGTTGCTCAGAGGGAGACTTCTTCAACTGTGTTTTGTGCGTGGTTGTAGGAAGGGGAGGTCTGAGGCTGTTCAGTGCCAGTGCTGGGGTTAGCACCCCACCCAAAGATCCTCAGACACAGCAGTAAAATGTGTGCATACAGCCCTGACCTGGATAGCCCAGGTAAGACAGATCTCATCAGATCTCAGAAGCTAAGCAGGGTTGGCTCTGGTTAGTACTTGGATGGGAGACTTCCTTGGAATACCAAGTCAGGAGGACAGGAGCAGGCTTTGTTCAGCCCACCTCTCTGAATATCCTCCAGGCTTCCAGTAGGGGTCAGTTACCAGAGGTCTACATGACTTCCAGGTGCAAACACACACACACAAATACAAAAAAAAAAGTGTGCATACACATGCATGCAAAATTCTTTGCTCATTCACCTGTGGAGTAATACCTGGTGGGGGCATGCAGAGAAGAGAATGTGAATTCAGCCCAACAGCTCCAAAGATTTATTGACAGTTAAGTCTTTTAAAGAATGGGCAGTGATTTTCTTATTGATTCCCTTCCACAAACACACACACACCACTGCAGACCCCTGATTTCCCTTGATGCTGTTAGTAAGTGTCTGCTGGAACAAGAACATGGGGGTTCAGTAGACTGCAGTGGGTGGGGGAAACAAGGAAGTCCAGCTCTGCAAAGGCAGTAGATGGTTGGATATGAGTTTAGGAATGGTGCTCAAGTCCAATAAGTTTGAGTAACCCTACCTTAGTTTTAATGTACACCCCATATCGACAATGTTTTATAAACAGTGCAGAGTACTTGTGAGAGCGGTATGAAAGAAATAGCTGCAATTCTAGATCTGTCACATTTATTCCTTTTTTCTCCAGAGCATTTTCACTGTTCTGAAACTTGCCTTCTTGTGTCCTAGCACTCCATTTTTTTCTAAATTCTTCTCCAACTGTGTAGGTAAAAGAATATTTGATTGCAGTTTTTGTACTGGGGAAGCTGTTAAAGAGCCCATGTAATGTAAAATGCCTGTCTCTGAAATCTGTTTTTGAAAGCAAAATGTAGTTAACATTGTTTTTCTCTTCTCTTAATAGAAATGTCTGCAATATTCCAAGCAGTTCATGCATCTGGGAAATGTAACCGAAACTTCACGGTAGGTTTATATTTTGCCGTACTTTGATGTCCCCATTTGTGCCTTCCATGTAGAATTAAGCAGTCTGGGACTTAGATTTTATTTTGGGAACTATCTGAATTGATTTTGCTTTCATGCTCCAGATCTCATTGAGAGTTGTGTTGTCTGGAAGGCACAAATGGGGACCTAGCACAGAATGTTACAGGTTGGTTTGAATTATATCAGGTCGTATAACTTAATTAAGGCTATAGTCTTAGTCCTGGGAATAGAATCGATCAGACAGTCATAGGATCAGGGTGTATGTGGGCTTCTCTTGATGGAAGTGAAGCCAGGAGATACGGAGTGCCAGATCAACCTCCCCTGTCTTTCAAAGAAAGGAGGACAGTAGGTATTGCTAGGCTTATTTTCCATAAGCTTTAGGGGGGAACACAGCCTGGTGATAGGGGTTACCAGATCAATCTACCCTGTCCCAGAATCAACTAGACCTTGCATTGAGCCTGAGGAAAGTTTATAAAGTTATTGGCTCCCTACTTTGAAAGGTTTCTGCACAGGATTTATTCTCCTGACCTCCTTCTGAGGCAGGTACAGGAAGCTCTCCTGGATGCCAGCCTAACCAGCTGTGATGTTTTCCACATGTTCGCTTAAGAGTCATATCTGTTTGGTTAGAACTTGACTTCTTAAAAGTGTGTAGACACCATCACTCAGCAGCTGAGAGGGGAACACCACTGCCTTTGCTGAGCATGGCCAATATAGTAATGCTCCTGCAGGTATCTATTGGCTTCCTTGTCTGGAATTCTGTGTACGTCTCTGCTTGCGTGTGTGTAAAGTGCTGTAAAGTCGCATCCGACTTAAGGCCACCCCGGCAAGGGGCTTTCAAGGCAAGTGAGAAACAGGTGGTTTGCCATTGCCTTCCTCTGTGGAGTCTTCCTAGGCGGTCTCCCTTCCAAGTACTGACCCTGCATAGCTTCTGAGATCTGACAAGTTAGGGGTATACAACACTGCCTTCCCTCCCCACATTTCTGGTTCCTTTATCTCAGAGTGCAGAAGAGGGCAACCAAGGATGATTAAGGGATGGGGGGGCTCTCCTGTAAGGAAAGGCTGAAGAGTCTGAGGCTTTTCAGTTTACAAAAGTATTACTGGGAGCATGAGGTTCATAAATTTATGCATGAGGTGGAGAAAGTGGGTAGAGAAAACCTTTTCTCCCTGTCCCATACTATTAGGAGCACTCAATGAAGTTAATAGATCAGCATGGATAAAAGGATCTTTTACTTTTGGATGTAATTATTTTTCCTAGATCGAATTAACAATTGGTCTGTGAAGCATTTCTTCCCCCTTTTTCTGTTGAGTGTAAGAACATCATAATAGCCCTGGCTGGGTCAGATCAATGGTTCCTCTAGCTCAGTATCCTGTCTCACCTGGTAGCCAACCTCTAGCTCTGTATCCTGTCTCACCTGGTAGCCAACCAGTTGCCCTGGAGGGCCAATAACAGGGAATATAGGCTGAGACCTTCCTCTGCTTCCTGGCACTGGTATTCAGAGGTTTACTGCCTCTGTATCTGGAGGTTCCCTTTAGTCACCATGACCAATGGACACCCATAGACCTATCCTCCATGAACTTGTCTAATCCCCTTTTTAAGCCACCTATGTGTGTGGCACCAAATTCCACATTTTAATCACTCACTGCGTAAAGAGGTATTTCCTTTTGTCCATCCTGAATCTATGGCCCATCAGCTTCATTGGATGCTCTTGAGTTGAAGTACTTTGGGAGAGGAAGAAAAAGGTCTGGCTGTCCACTTTCTCAACCCTATGCATGATTTTATAAACCTGTGCAATTCTGCGCTCTCGATTGAGACATTTGGTGGTACTTATTCACGAGCACAGCACACCTTGTTCACATGACTCTGAGTTAATCTGTAGTCTCGCCTGTATTTGTGGAGAGCTCTGCTTCAGAGTCAGCACAAACCTGCAAAATTCATGGGGGATCCCATCCTTTTTGTCTTGCCTCCTCACTGGCCCACACACTTATTCCCCCCCAGAGCCACCACTTGCCTGGAATATGCAGCAGCAACAGCAGCCCTCCCCCCGCCCCTGATCCCAGCTGCTCCTCTGCCTGCCCAGCACGCAGCGCTGGTGATGGTTCCAGCTCCCCCCTCCTCTCCACCCGTCTCCTTGTAAACTGAGTTTGGGAATAGAACAGGCTGCTCAGCAAAGTTGTCCAGTCTTATTCTTTCCACTGCTTAAAGACTGGATTTTTACTGTATGTTGGAGTCTGCTTTTTCCAGAAGATTGACATGCAGGACCCATTGCTGTGATTCCTGAAGCCATCAGTAGTATAAACTAAGTCCCTAAGCATTTTAGCCTGGTACTCCCTAATCACTGCTCCTCTCTGGCATGAGGCTAAACTCTAGTCTTGTATCAGAACCCAGCCATTATTGGACTTGAATAGAGCCCACCCACTCCTGCTTGGAACCAAAAGAGGTTCCAGCAGTAGTGTTGATTTTTCCCCCCACTTTCCCAACATGTCCTTCCTGCACTATATTACAGGTTTGAAAAGCTGGCTCAGAGTTGTAAAAAAGATCTGGACATCTTACAGCTCGCTCAAGCCCAGGGATTGGATCCCCCAAGCCATCACTTTGAAGAGAGGACCTTTAAAATTGTCAGGTATGGCAAGCCAAGGGCTGATCGTATGCAGACAAGCATGGACGGGGTTGCACATTGCTTATTCCTACAGATAGCTGAGGTTTGCAAATCCCTTTTTTTTTAATACTCTTTTTATTAATTCCCTTCTGAGTCCTTTGGCTGTTAGCAGCCCAGGACACCCCAGCATCAGAACCAAAATTTCTACATAGAGCAGAATTCTTCTGATTACTCTTTCCTAAAAGTGACTTATTTTAGAGTGAAACAAAGCATTACTAGAAACATAGGGTTGTCAAGGTTCTCCATTTGCCACTAACACCTAATACAGCTCTCCCATGTCCTGATAGTGTCATGCCATGTTTTCTCCTTGATTCTTATTTTTGAACATTTGCCAAGTGTGGTATTGCAGTGTCTAGCAGAGAGAAGTGGACCTGATGCATGAAGTGAATCTTTAATTATTTTGCTTTGTTTGTGTTCTAGGATATTTTCTGAACTCAACAGCACAGAGATGCATCTTATCATTGTTAGAGGAATAAATCTACCAGCTCCACCAGGTAATTTTCGATTGTCGTAAAGTGGTCTTGAAGAATTTTTTCCCTTATAATGGGATTGTTTCTGATTAAAGGAGGAGTCTTGTGGATCAAAGCAAGATGTAACTTTCCAAATTCAAATGCAAAAGACACTGAAACTGAAAGCATTTTTTAAAACAGTAGAACATTTAATTGTCCAAGTTTTGCAAAGCTTTTTGTTTTATAGTAAATTCATTTGCTGAGATATTTGGTGCTTTACTGTTAAACCACCTCACTGGTATATTTGTCTGCAACACTGGTGCAGATTTGTGTTTGTAGTGGAAGTGAATTTGAAATTCCATCCTAAGCAAAGTAGGTGCCAGGACAAAAGCATAGGCCTGTGTAGGATTCATTGTATCTCTTGTTGCTGGACAAGTACAACCCTTGGGTGCTGAGTCAAGAATCAAGTAGCTTGAGAATTCAGCTGATAAGCTCACAGACAAGAGCAACTCTGTAGCTAGAGAATTTTCTCAAGTTAAATAGAATGAAATCATCAAAGTGAATGCTTCACTTTCACCTGAATTATTTGAAACTTAGACTCTGTTCAGACGTAACACAGCACTGTAGTTTATTTTTAACTGTGGTTAGTTTGTGGAATCAGGATTTGGCTTGCAGTCCATCATTCAAATCCTGGTTTGCATTAACAAATGCTGGATTCATTGCCTTCATTCCTTGCCCTGCAGAGACCTGTCTGGTATCTTGGCCTATTTTGTGGTAAGATTGGCACTTAGAGAACCAGCCAAAATTATGCCAGGATGTTGATCGTTGTACATAAGACTTGATTTCGGATCCTGGCTTCATTTTTCCGTAACTGGGCGTAATTAGTGGCCTTGCCTATGCTTAATTAAACTATGCTTTCACATGGCTCCTGAATAGCAAGAGAATCGCTGCTCACTCATACTGAACCAACAGGCTTAACTGTCAAGTGGACATCACACTGTATGGATCACTCTAGGGTTGTTGGTTTTTTTTCTTTTAAGTTCATGCTTGGTAACTCCTAACTACTGTATTAAGGAAAGCTATTTGGAGAACCACAGAAGTGTGTTAGATGTGAAGGAAATAGTGTTCTGGTACATATGTTAAGAATGTCCAACACAAAGCCTTACTTTCCTGGAAAAGAAATAAGAATTGTTATGCTGACTCCTGACATTTTGTGCAATTTCTCTCTTTCAAAGGACAGGAGAGAAGTATGTGTGAGTGCAGTTTCCTAGGGGTTGGACACAGGCAGTGAGAAGCTTTGCTGGGGAGGCGCATGAGGACACTGAGATACAATGGCAACATTATTGGCAAGGGGCAGGTCAGAATACTGCCTCTCAGATACCACCCATGGGAAATTTCCCCATTGTATCCTAGGGGGCTTGCTTTTCCATTGATTAAAACCCTCCCCCCCCCTCCCCGGTGGTGCAATGGAGAAGCTTCCTACCCAGGAGTGGGATGGACAGAGCAGTCAGAGAAGCGGCCTTCTAGACCTTCCCCCCTCTCTCAAGGATGGGAACAAACAGTTCTGTGAGCCATAATGGAGCCAGGTGACATCATGGGATGAACCACATAGTTCCAGTCAAGAGGCATGACGGTCCACTGAACTGTTTGAAGTCTGCCCCCTGTGTAGTTCCTATCTTATGTTCCCCTTCTGGCCTCAGGCAATGGGGTGCCAGTTAGCTTTGGGAATTTTTAAACGCATGTTTTTAAACAACATTTATTTATTTATACCTCGCCCTCCCTGTCGAAGCAGGCTCAGGTCAGCTTACGTGAAAATTTTAAAACAGATAAAACATAGCAAATCTAATATAAATATAAAACACAACATAAAGTGCTAGTATGTCATTTGTGTGATAGTGGAGCAGCAGCAGTAGCAAACCATTACAATGAGGTACAGTCAGCATTTGATAGTTCATATTGGCGGCGCACAGGCTGTCGGTGATGGTATTAGGTCACAGGGTCTTAAATTCATTCGGTGCAGCTCCTTAGTTGAATGCCTGGTGGAAGAGAGCTCCATCTTGCAGGCCCTGCAAAACTGTAAAAGGTCCTATAGGGGCCTGGTGTCTTCTGGGAGCTCATTCCACCACCCTAACTTTGGAAGCCCTAACTGAATGGATCAGAGCTAGCAGCTGTGAATCTGGTTCACATCTGTTATTTCTGGAATGTGCGTTCATGGTAAAGTTTTCAGTTGTCCTGCAGCCATTTCTTTATTTAAGAGATCTAGTTTATGGGCTGTTCTCAAATAATAAATCTGAGGCTGTCATTTTATCAGGCTTTTGGGTGGCGCAAGCTAGAGTACTTCAAAACACAGACCTCTATTTTTCCTTTACTAGAAGATTATTTGTAACCTTATGATCATTAAATAGTTAATAACATGGCTCTTTGGTCCATTCTTTGCAGCTGTTCAAAGCTTTGGCTGTTTGTAGCTGAATACTAGTAAGTGAGGGATTCAGAATTAGTATTGAATCTAATGCTAGGCTGTCTTGAGGGAACTTGTGCTCCTGTTCACAAGAACTATTTACTTGACAAAACTCCTCTCTTTGTTCAGGTGTGGCACCAAATGACTTGGATGCATTTGTAAAATTTGAATTTCATTATCCTAACACAGTGAGTATACAACAAGGCCTTTGCTTTCCCCTAATATCTGAACTGTATCACATATCAAAGTAGTGCCTTATCTGCTCACTCTGATATTTGATGGTTAGCTTTCTAGAGTGGCAGGCTAAGAAGCTGATACCTTAGAGTACAGACTTGGCTGTTGCAACTGGAGAAGTTATCTAAGACACACCTGTATAAGGCCCTCCAGTTAATTAGAGACCCCTTCTTCACTATTTGCAGCCTCGTGGGGGGTTATTCAAAGTGCTTACTTTATGCAGCTATTCCTTTCTCTTTGTGGGAGTGTGTGATTTACTCTAGCCCATAGAGAATGATCAAGGAAAGTATATTATGTTACTTCATCATTCCCTGGATTTTAGAGGCCTAAGAATTGGCACCAGTTTTTTTCCAGTCAGTTGTAACTGGACAGCCATATTGCACAGCCAGGTTCCCTCTGACACTTTTAGATATCTATGCTGTACAATGTGGCTGATTTTCAAGTTATATTTTTCAAGTTTACATCTAAAAGCATTTTAGGTGAGTGCAAGAAACACCTGTTGGAAATGCACATATCATGCCAGTACATGCATCAGAGAGCCAGTTTAGGAAGCTGTCTGATAGGCTCAGTTGTGACCCGGAGTTTATGCCACAAAACATGGAGCAGGCATATTACTCCCATTCTGCAGTCACTCCACTGACTGCCCCATCAGTTACTGGGCTCAATTTAAACTATATAATGTGGCCTTTCATGGCCTTGGACCCTCAGATCTGCAAGACTTGGTCTCTCCCTCCATGCGCTGCCGCAGCAGCCTCACTCATCTGAGCAGGGCCTTTGGCAGGTACCAAGCTGCAAATGGGCAAAACCAACAGCTGCCCGTACATGGGCCTCCTCCCTTGTGGGCTGGCTGCCTGAGGAGGTCAGGAAGGCTCCCACTCTCCAGCCTTTCTGCAAACTATGCAAAAGTGAATTATTCAGGAGAACTTTTCTGCACAGGCAATGGAGCTGTACTGTACTAAATGATTCACCAAACTACTCGGACAAATTATTAGGGACTGTGATCTATACTACTGTGTTTAGCGTACTGAAACTAGGATCCTACTGTGTAATTTTGCATCATTTAATGTGTTGTGTTAACACTTATGCTTTGCTTCAGGTCTGTTTTTTAGACTCCTGGTTGGTTCTACAACCCAAATCCTATTTCACTGTTTACTGAATGCCTCATCCTGTTGATTGTATGGACTCACTCTGTGTAATCTGCTTGGAGTCCCAGTGAGAAAGGTGGACTATAGAAAACATAAATAAATAATATGCAGAAAGGCTCTCTTGGATGTGTGTGTATGTACTTGTGAGAATGTGAATGAAAACCGTATGTACTACTCAGAATAGAGATCAGAAGATGGGAGAAGAAATGGAAACTTAAAGGACTCTGAAGAGAGAGGAGGTAATGGGGGTGGAAAGGGGCAAGAAAATAAAGAAAAATAGCAAAGATAGGATGCAAGCAAGCTTGTGGTTTAGAGAAGGGATGTAACCGATAGGAAAGCTGAGAGGACTGAAGAGGAGATAACTGAGAGGTGATATGATATAATAACCATCTTCAAGTATAGAGGATGGTGCGGAGTTATTTTCTGTTGCCCCAGTAGGTCGGACCAGAACTAACAGGTTGAAATAAAATCAAAGTAGTTTTCGACTAAACATTAGGAAAATCTTCCTGACAGAGCGGTTCCCCAGTGGAGCAGGCTTCCTCGGGAGGTGGTAGGCTCTCCTTCTTTGGAAGTTTTTAAACAGAGGCTAGATGGCCATCTGACAGCAATGCTGATTCTGTGAACTTAGGCTGATCATGAGCGGGAGGGCAGGAAGGGTTGCATCAGTGCTTAGTTCTTGTGGCCCTTTCTTACATGCCCAGGGAAATGCCAATCGCCACTTTGGGGTCAGGAAGCAATTTTCTCCAGGCCAGTTTGGCTAGAGATCCTGGAGGGTTGTTTGTGTGTGTGTGTTTGCCATCTTCTGGGCATGGAGCAAGGGGTCACTGGGGGTGTGGGGGGGAAGTAGTTGTGAATTTCCTGCATTGTGCAGGGGGTTGTACTAGGTGACCCTGAAGGTCCCTTCCAACTCTGTGATTCTGTGATTCTAGGACTGGTGCAAAGAAGAGAATGGGCAAGCAGAAATGTGTTGCAGAAAGCTCTTTAGAGGTAGGATAGCAGATATGGGAAGGGGTGCAGGAAGAAATCAGTGTGGTATAATGCGCAAAGAGAACCTATAAGGCAGGAAGACAGAATGAAAGGGAGTTAACGGTATAAGGAGAATGACTGTCTGTCTACCTATCTACCTAGTACTGCTCATATGACTGTCACCTTAAGCAGAAATTAGAACCACAAATATTTTAAAAGACCTTACTCAGTATTATTTCTCTTATATTTGATTATTGCACATATTAATTTTGTCACTGAGAGGGTGACATGATCATTTATATCCAATAAGAGCCATATTTAGCAATTCTGTATCTTTAAGTAAAGGAGTGACTGAATTAATCCTCAACTCATTGAATATAGGGCACTCCATAATCAGATGTTCGATGGTTTCGATTGTATCATATGCGCATCTGCATGTTCTGTTAGAGTATGATACTCTATTATATCTACCCTCCAAAACCTCCGGGGGAAGAACATTCAGTCTTGCCAAAGTAAAAGCTCTTCTTAGTTTTGGGACTGTCAATTGATAAAAAATATTTCAGCAGTTGCTTTGGGGGAGCAATTCCAAAATGGAGTGTTGAACATATCCTGCGTGCCCTAATAGGTGTACTTGTAGCATTGAACTTCCTTACACATTTTTTAATTTGTCTTATAATGTCCTTAGTTTCTGTATTCTTAATCATATCGTTTGTTATTCCTAGGCATTTCATTTTCTTTTCCAATAGTTGATCCCATTGGCTATAATGTTTATCTGCCTGGATAAGCCCAAGTAGAGTAGATCCTCCCTCAGATTTTAAAACCTTTACTTTGAAGTCCTATCTTCCATCAATAATTTGCCTAGTTCCACTCTCAGTGCTATGCCCAAGACACATCTAGGAGTAGTCAATAAGTGTCGGGAAAAGTCATGCTGGATGGAATCTATTTTTCAGAAGCAGCCTGAATCCAGATTCCCGCACCATACAGGAATTGGTTTAGAACCTTAGCACTGAATACCTTTAAGGCTGAGGGGACAAATGAATGTCTTATAAGGTACAGAGAAAAGGGGAAGGGATGAACAGTGGCCTAAAAGAAAATAATTGGGTCAGAAAGAATCACATGACTCACCACAGGTGACTTAGCAAATAAAAGGGGCCTTCGGATTGATTTGAATTGTGCACTAGAAGCCATCAGCCAATGGTAGGTGGAACCTCATCTCCATGGGAAGGGCAAACACCAAGAACTTTTCTTTCTTTACCTAGTGTCACTGTTGGCAGTAGCAACTCTGGTGATCATTACCACAGGAGGTATTAAAAAATTAATGTGAGCAAACAACACCAGAGGGCTTTGGAGTATGCCTGTTCTACTGGCAGATGGGAAAATAGCTGCCTCTGGAGGATGAGCTGCCTGTCTTGCTTAATAAATAGGGTATGTTTTGGAAATGGCTCCATTAATTAGGACACATTGTCCTTGCTCACTCCCTAAAGATATGTTTTACTGTACTTGGTGTTAATTTAGTCTAGTGTATAACCTGATTGTCACAAAAATAGCCATGATGTTATTGGTTGCATAGTCTTTTCAGAACCCTTTTGGTACACTAGCCAAGTTCCTTACTTTTTCCTTCTTGTGGATAAGGTAGTCATATAAAAGACACCACAGGATGCTTTAGTCCCAGCAGAGTCTGTCCTGCATCAAAGCCAAAATACTGAGTAGATTTCCATTGTTAGCATGGTTTCCCATGCCATGTAGATTTCTTTTTTTCTCCTGTATGCTTAATAGTAGAGTTTGTATTTCAGATATTTGCATTTCATTGCATATTAAATGTAATGTAACATTATACTGCTGCAGATAGTCTCAGATATTTGCAGGTATTTCATTCAAAAAGCAAATAAAAACTTGCAGCATCTGCTGAATCTTAACAGTGTGACATGGATCTGTTGTTTTTTTAGGGAAATCATTTCTGTTTTTATGCCTCTCTGCTTTTCTTAAAACAGGAGCAAGCTCAGAAAAGTAAAACATCTGTGATCAAAAACACCAACTGCCCAGGTTTGTTGGGCTTTCTGGCTCTTTCTCTTCATCCTCTTCAGTTGGGTCTGTCAGATCTATGCTCACCGGGGGGGGGGGGGGTTAACTCTGCTTTTACTTCAGCTGGCTTAACGTACCTAAAGTTCAGGACTGAGCCTGGCACCACGGGCCGGCGAATGAGCTATAGCCCCCTCCCTTAAGGAGATACTTGCAGGACCTAAACCAATGGTCACTGAATGCCTCTCATGGGTTCATACCATGACAAGTTCTAAAGTGGCCATGTATGCTGCAGGGTCGTAACATTGGTATCTGGGATTTTTCTTTCTTATTTTGTTGCTCCATTGGTGTTATACTCCTCTGTGTTTTTCAAGTTCCACAAGAGTTGAGGATGGGTAAAGTGCAAAAATAAAGAGCAAGTGCCTTTGTATAAACTCAATTTGGAGTCAGTTTGGTGTAGTGGTTAAGTGCGCGGACTCTAATCTGGGAGAACTGGGTTTGATTCCCCACACCTCCACTTGTACCTGGCTGGATGACCTTGGGAAAGTCGTAGTTCTGATAGCTGTCCTTGAAAAAAGAGCAGTTTCTGTCAGCGCTCTCTCAGCCCCACCTACCTCACAGGGTGTCTGTTCTGGGGAGGGGAGGGGAAAGGAGTTTGTAAGCCGCTCTGAGACTCCTTTGGGTAGTGAAGGGCGGGGTATAAATCCGATCTCCTCTTCTTCTTCTTCTTCTTCTGTTCCTTTTATTTCTAGGAGCTGGTTGTTGGATGCATAATATTCCTTGGGTAGCTTAATCCCTTTTCTTAATAATCCCTTTACTTAATAAGCCAGAGGTATTCCTTACAGCCAGTGTGGTGTAGTGGTTAAGGTGGACTCTAACCTTGAGAACTGGTTTGATTCCCCACTCCTCCTCCACATGGAACCTTCTGGGTGACCTTGAGCCAGTTACGCTCTCTCAGCCCTCTCAGCCCCACCTACCTCGCAAGGTGCCTGTTGTGGTGTGAGGAAGAGAAGGCCATCATGAGCCATTTTGAGACTCTTAGGGTAGAGGAAAGTGGGGTATAACCAACTCTTCTAAAATGCTTCATAATGTTTTTCTTCCTTGACAGTTTATTAGCAACAAGAACAAGCAGGAGGACACTTTATAAGAACTAAGCTGACAGGTTGTCCTAGTGGTTCTCTTTCAAAACTCAGATTATAAATAAGTAGAATGGGAGAAAAAGTGAAATTGATAGTTTAGCCAGAAAATAGCCATTTGTGAAATAGCATAAATGCAAATATTCAAATACATTTTTCTTGGCTGTAGTCCAGCCACTAGGGACTTGGGTAAAGACTGGTGAACATGACAGGCTGTGGAAGCATGTAGCCAGGGAAACACTGCATACAGACAAAATGTTGAGCCATGAAGGTACCCTGCCTTTCCTGCCATTCCCCCTGCTCAAGTGGGTCAGAGATGGAAGTGGAGCAGGAGGCTTGCTGCAAAGTAGAGAGCTTTGTGGGAAGGAAAATGCAAGGTTTTATGTGGAGCTGAAATCTGATGGTTGAATTTTGTTAGAAGAGAGTGAGGTCTAATTTAGGCATTAACCAGTATGCACAGTAGAATCTGTACCATCTCAGACATGCACCTACCCAAAGTGCCCCATGGCAAAATATCTTTTGCAGTGTGTGCACTCTGAGATGGTAAAATCCTCCTAAATTTGCACCAGCTGCTCTGTTCAGTGTTTCAATTAGCTTGAAATGCCCTTTAATACCTGTGTACATCTCACATCTTGTCTTCATTTTCTAGAATATAATCAGCTGTTCAAGTTGAGCATTAACCGAAACCACAGAGGTTTCCGAAGAGCAATTCAGGCCAAAGGCATTAAATTTGAAATTTTCCACAAAGGGTAAGTACTTATGCCCAGTGAAAGCAGCTCAGTGATTTGTGGAAAATGAAATTAAGTTCATGTGACTTCTGTCCTCTCCTCATAAATTCTAGATTCTGAAAAATGTTGTCAAAGTTCTGTGACCAAGATTTGTGTGTGTGTGTGTGTAAAAATTATCACTATAACCTTTACATACATCTGGCTATAGATACTTTTCTAATTTTTTGAGCACTTGGATTTTTTCGTAGGCTGAATGCATGAATGCATGATGCACAGTCTGGGAGGAAGTGTTAAGGCAAAGGCAATTTCTTGGTTACAGTGGATAATTATTTTGGATACTTACAGTGTTTTAGATCCAATAGAGGATTTGCATGGATGGAGTGGGGGGGTTGATTTTGGGCTGTAAAGTCCCAAGAATGAGTGCCCAGGCTGGGTATAAATGTTGGCACTTCACTGAGATACAGGACTGTTCAGTTTCTGTACCATAAGACTTTCTTCCACTTGTGCATAATTACTTCAGTTATAGAACACAATCTACCTTGCCAGGCATGTTGGTTCTGTACATTTGACCCCTGTAAACTGAAAGGTGCCGTGATATGTCCCGTTCTGATCACTGGCCACACAAAAGACAGGCAGGGCTTGAGGGGGAGACTCTACCTGTTCCACTACACCCATCGTTGAAGCTGGTGTCTGGAAACAACACTAGAAGTAAGCCAACAAAACCTTTTCACTGTCTCACAATGACTTTTTGGTTGTACACTGGTTGAACAGTTAAGGAGAAAGGGCCCTTCTTTGCAATATGGTCATTATGTTGTTGTTGAAGGCTTTCATGGCTGGAGTTCATTAGTTGTTGTAGAGAGTACTCCATCTTTCTGTGTTATACCTCTGAGGATGCCAGTCACAGGTGCTGGTGAAATGTCAGGTGTGAGCAATTTGCCAAATAAGGGATAATGTGTAGCTGACATAAGAATGAGCAGTTTTATTGTCCATCATAAGGTTCTACAGCCCATTATACTGCGGTCACAGGATGAACCTTTCTCTATGTTATGTAAATATTAATCTAAACATCACAAGGACTCTGGGTTGGGACACATGTCTGCTTAGGATTCAAAAACCACTGATGCTAAAAAAAACAGGTTGCTTACCTGTAACTGATGATCTTTGAGTGGTCATCTGTGCAGTCACACCCATGGGATTATGCACCTGCGCTGATCCGAATCGGTGGTATGCAAAGCTCACAAATGGATCTTTGCGCCTCTCCTCCAGGCATGCGCGGGAACTCTACTGCGCATGCCCAAGGAGGAGGGGCACGGACATCCCGCCAGTTCCTTCTGACTGCTGTCATGTCAATAACCAGAGAAAAGTACTGAAGCGATAGCCGTGGGGAAGGATGGGCGGGTGGTATGACTGCACAGATGACCACTCGAAGATCGTTACAGGTAAGCAACCTGTTTATCTTCTTCGTGGTCTCTGTGCATCACACCCACGGGAGATTGAAAAGCAGTGGTTCACCTGGAGGTGGGAGCTGTTGCAATTCAATGCTCTGCCGACAAAAGAACTAGACGATCCAGGTCCACTCTGTGGCGTTCACAAACATCAACAGCGTAGTGCTTGATGAAGGTGTTCGGAGTAGACCATGTCGCAGCCCCACAGATCGCCGACAGGGAAGCACCCTTAAAGAAGGCTGTGGACGCAGCCATGGATCTTGTAGAGTGCGCTTGCACAGGCAAGGGCAATGGGCACTTAGCCAACTGGTAGCACAGCTTAATAGTCTCGACAATCCATTTGGGGAGATGTTGTGCTGAAATCTTTAGCCCTGCGGAATGACTGGAGTAGGAGACAAATAAATGATTGTCCCTCCTACTCAGACGTGTCCTATTTAGGTAAAAGAGCAGTGCCCTCCTAACAGCTAGAGTGTGGAGGAGCCACTGTTGTCCATCTTCCGGTTTAGGGAAGAAGTTAAGCAATAAGGTCTCCGAGGCTAGGTGAAATTCGGAGACCACCTTAGGCAGAAAAGATATGTCAGGGACCAGTATCACACCGTCTGGCAGGAATACAAGGAAAGGTGGGTCATGGCGTAGAGCCACGAGTTTGCCCGCCGTCCTGGCCGAGGTGATGGCGACGAGAAAGACAGTTTTCCATGCTGCATGCCTTAGCTCGCAAGTTGCCATAGGCTCAAAGGGCCGCCCCATGAGATGGCGGAGCACCAGCGGTAGATCCCACAAGGGTACTGGTGAGCGGATTGGTGGATACAGGTGGAGGAGACCCTTCATAAATCTCTTAGAGACTGGGTGAGAGGAAACGGAAAAACCATTGAAGCCCGGATGGTAGGCCGAAATTGCTGACAAACTACAGGTTTTATCATCCTTCCTCAACTACAAAGGAATAAATAAGCCAGAAATTAGCTTCATTAGTTTGAGATCTTGAATGACTACATAGCAATACCTTGCTGTTTCCAGTCATAGTTGAGAAGAAACTAATTCTTCCACTGATGTACTGCCTTCTTCCCAGGTCTTTTTTCAGGAGCGATAAGCAAGTTGGAATTGCACACTTGAAACTGGACAAACTGGAATCTGAATGTGAAATCAGAGAAATAATTGAGGTACCCTGTTTTGTTCTAAAAGTAAACAGTGTTGAAGCAATGAGAAGAATGGGGGTTTTTTGAGTGGAGGGGAACCATGGTCTAAGTTTTAGTTCTTTTGATATGGTCCAGACCCTGATAGGATGCAATGACTTTCTCTCTGTGATTTCATTGCTAGCATAGATGCTTTCTTCAGTTCTCATGGTGCCAGGCGTGTCTGCTTATACACAAATATGAAGTGCTTGAGAAGGGGACAGATAAACACTGTATTCTCCATCAATGGAGGAAGGTATCATTATGTGAGTTGTGGTGTGCTCCATGCAAATTTCTTGCAAAGGCTTCCACTACCCAGGAGATGCTCCACCTCCCCAGTCCATGCCCTGCCTGCTCCATGGATGGATGACCTCCCACAGCTCTCCTACCTCGCTTATTAAAAATGCAGGCAAAAACACCTTAAAAATCACTGACCTCCACCTCTCAGTCATGAGGGAAAGCGGAGAAAAGTATACAAAGTTGTCCTGAATGCAACAGTGTCCCAAGGCAGTTACCAGAGTTGAGCCACCACTAGAGGAAAGCATGGCTGCTCCTCCCCTGGGACCCTGGCACTAGCCTCTAACATCAGTGCCTGTTCTTCAGCTGCCACTCTCCTGTCTCCTGCCAAAGCACTGGCAGGTACAGGGGGTGGACAGCTGGCTTTCTCCTACTCCAAGGAACCAATGGTGGACACACCCACCAATGGAACTGCCTCCAGCTCTTCTGACTGCCAAAATGGTGCCTGTTCTTCAGCTGCCACTCTCCTCTCCCTTGCCAGGATGGAGAATGGACAGCTAGCCCTCTCCCACTCTAAACTACTGCTGGTAGACAGGCCCGTCAACAGAGCCACCTACAGCTCTTCTGAGCTAGTCCTTTTCACCCTGTCAACTACACAAGGCCAGGAGATCCCAGCAAGTACTAGCACTGAAAGGCACTCTCCCCCCCCCCCCCCCTTTTTTTTTTGGCTGCAGGAAGGGACTCCAAAGGCAAGCAGGGGGAAACAGATAACGTTATCTGCCACCAGGAGGGACTCTTCTTCCCCCCTCACCATCCTCAACAAGGCTTCACTTACCCAGCCCTTCGTCCCTACATTATGTTTGTTTATGAAGGGCATTATGTGCAATTTGGGGGGGAGGAAGGTATGGGGGGGAAGCAGTGCCACAGAAGGAGGATTGAAAATGCCTCTATTTCTCAACCTTCCCTTCTCCCTCCTCCCAAAATCCCCCCGGGGGGATCCCACGGAACTAGCCGTTCCTCAGAGAAGCGTGGCTCCCATTTCGTGGATCCCAGAACCACTCTGAGGAGCATCCATTTTAGCTGTTGTTCTATGCCAGCTGACAATAAGGCCAGCATACAGCTCTGCCCTTGGTCTCCAGAGCCAGACACTCTTCCCCTTCTGGCCATTCTGAGTCATTGCACTCCAGCTGCTTCAGACTCCATTGCTTCAGTTTAGGAATGAAGGGAATGTGCCCCTTCTTTGAGCCAAGCCTCTACCAGCATTCTCCATCGGGAGGATTTTCCACTCCTTTCTGGGGAAGGCCACTGTGGCCTAAGGCTTTGCAGGACTAACCACTCACTGACTGGCTCCAGCTCTTCATCTTCTCTCCCATGCTGAAGTACCTGCAGGGACAGAAGTAGACAGCCAGCCCTTTCCCACTCCAAAGCACTGGTGGCAGAGTGTCCCATCTGTAGAGGTGCCCACAGCTCAGTTCAAGCTGACATAGCCAGGAGGCCTTGGCAAGTATATGCAGTCTTGTTTCAGGTGCGATTACTGCCTTATAGAGCTTGTGAGGTCCCGGACCTTGCCTTCAGACCAAGTGCATCTTTCCCCACCTGTGCAGAGCATCCACACTCAGGGCTGAGAAATCTCTTTAGGTCCTAACGTTTCACCTTAGGCATCAACTTGGACCTTTTTAGATCAAAAGAGCCTCTGGATTCTCTGGAGATACTGTAACAGATGAAGTCCTGGTGAAGATAAAGGGAAAGAAGCCAGTGCCCTCTTCTTCCAAACAAGATGGGAAGAGATTTCCCAGATAAGATTTCCTTTCAGCATCTAGGGACCCCAGACTCCACTAGCCAGTGTGGAACAAATCCTGATTCATCTCCAAAGCCAGCTTCTCATCTGAGGGCTCTTCAGAGCACTGCATGATCTGGCTGGATATGTTCTAGACCTCCTCCATGCCCTGTGGAGCAGCTCTCCTTTCTTCTAGGATCCAACCAGCCAGTGTGACATCAGCTTAGGCTCCAAGCCACCAGATACCTGTGGCAAGCCAAGTCAAGGTACCTGTGGCAAGCCAAGTCAAGGTTTTGATGATGGAATGTTTTCCAGGATGTTCTCTATTCCATTCCTTGTGCCCAAGAAACTTGGCTCTTGGAGACCATTCATAAGTCTACAATGTCCTCCAAATGTGAGAAGGAGGAAATTGACATGGAGAGCCTTTGAATCATAGTGGAAGCCTTCCTGGCAGGGAACTTATTACCTCTGTAGATTTGCATGAGATGTTACCTGCAGGTCCCGATACATCCAAGCTTCAGACTCTTGCTTGCATATTGTCACCAACAACTTTTTTACGCAGTTCCTCTATTCTCCACCCGCCCTAGTCGTCACCCAGTTGATGGTCTCAGCAGTGGCCATCTCAGGTCCTGAACTGTATACTTCTAGTTCACACGTGGATAACCTTATATCAAGGCCACTACACAGATCAGAGGACCCCTGGGACAGCCATTCACTACAAATCACCTACACCTGCAGGTCCTGGTTTCACTAGAAAGCCACCCTCATTAGCAGGCCATCATCCATCAGGGGATGTCAATCAACTCTGCTCAATCCTCTGTTGCCCTCCAAGAAAAATATCACTTCAGTCTTAGGCACCTCTTGCAATGCCTGAAGAGCTGATGGCTCTGATCTCCTGCCCAGTACCTGTGCCATGGTTCCGGTTCCACTCCTATCTCTCTTAATGGCTCCAGTTGGCTTTGCATGGGACATCCTTCACTGTCATTGGAGGGAACATAACTATTATTCCCATTGTACACTGCATCTTAAGTTGGTAGCTCCAGTGCTCCCATCTGCTAGGACGCACTCTAGAACCTCTCATAGTGGAAACCACCAAGGATGCCAGTCCACTGAGTGTATGCTGCCATCACTTAGTAACCGAAAGATTCAGGTGGGGGTGCCCTTGTTGGTCTGAAGCAGCAGAACAAAGTTTGAGCCCAGAGGCACCTTTAAGACCAACGAAGTTTTATGTATGGTATAAGCTTTCATGTGCAAGCACACTTCCTCAGATACCGAAAGAAAGTGGCACAACATGGAAATAAATCACAGCATCTAGTAGTTGCAGCAGAGAGAGATCTCACTTGTGCTATTCTCCTTCCGACTCTTGATAGACTCTCGCTTCTTCATCTTCATTCACAATAGATGGTAAACATCATGTCATCCATCAGGGAGCTGTGAGGTCTCACTCCTCCTGAAGGCAAGTGACTCTACTACTACAGTGGGCAGAGTCCCATCTTTCTGTCACGGAGCTCAACATCTTCAGCAGTACCTGGATCCAGGTGAGGGGCTCAAAATTCTGGAGTTGCCATGCAGTGACCAGGAGGCAGAGCGCATCCAGTGCCTGGTCCTCCTGGCATCCTCAACCAACAACATTATTCCAAAATTCCAGCACAGGTACACATTGGTGAGGCAGAAGGTGAGGATGCTGTCTCAGCCCCCAGGACACAAGGGCCTATGCCCTCTCTACATCTGCACTCAGAGTTCAATAGAATATAAGAGAAACAATGGAGGACATCTTTGTTGTGTCCCCCTGTTCTCCAAACTGGTGGTGATGGCACAGCAACCATTGGGGATCTTTCTAGTGGACCACAACATCCTTCTATAAGGTCCCCTGCTTCATTCTGCTCTGGGATGAGCTTCATTCCTTTGCATGGAAAATGAAAAGAGGACACTAGAGTGATATGGCTAGCCAGGAAAGCTCTCCAGTTGGTCTTGGCTTTTTAAAAGCCCTTTACCAATGGAATATACCAAGCATCATGGGCAGTTCTTCACTGGCAGAGTTGAGGGAAGAAAACCAGCACACCTACGACAGGTGTATTAGAGGTTCACCAGTACCTCCCGGTTCACCACTGCCTCCAACTCTTTTTTGGTGCCAGGTACTAATCTTTCATGGGTTCCCTTCTGGTTTAGATTATCTAGACATCTTTCTTCCTCTCTTTGAACTCATTTTTTAGTCCATCTATAGGATCCTACTCCACTGTAAGCCTCTAGATTGCCCTCAAGAATTTTAACTTTCCATCCTCTGCCTTCTCCCCCCCCCCACCCACCCCGATTTCTCCTTTTAACTTTTAAAGTCTTAATTCTGTGTCTTTTTTCCTTGTAGGTATAAAAGTTGTTTTCTGGAAGTAGCCATCTGTAGTCAATTCTTGAAGTGGCTTGAAGTTCCATAGATGGCTTTCTTTTCTCTCTCTTAGTCAATATATAAGTCATTGTTTTGAGAGTTTCATCAGTGTTAGCATTTTTATAGGATCTCAGATGCACTTCTGTAAAAGTTTTATTTCTCCTTGTAGGTGCAAATTCCATTCTGTAGACCATATCAGTTTTATTGTAGGTTTCTTCTATATCTTCTGTATAGGAACATCCTTGCTTCTCGGCCTCCTTCGGTTGTGGCTGACCTTTCTCCATCTTATTTGGTGTTTGTTGTTGCAGTAGATCCATTTTGTCTTGCTTAAGAGCAAAAAATTCATTAACTGATTTTACAGCAGCAATGACTGAGTTTTGAATTAAGGTTTGGAGGTCTTCAAACCAAACTTGTACTAATTTAATATCTACAGGTTTCAATACATCTAAAAACACAGCCTCTGGCACTTTTTGTAATCTATCTATAGCATCCATTTTTGAAGCAGTATATTAAAACCAAAGAATCTCAAACTTATTTTTCAACAAATCTTTACAGTCTCGCTGCTTCTAATATTTATAAAACAATAACATAGTC